AAATGCATAATTTTTGAGAAATAACTAGAAAATTTACTTATGTTACTCATTTTTATTTTTAAAAAGCCAATACAAAAGGTAGGTAGGCCTATCAGAACTTCACATGCGGCAGATGTAAAATCATTTAAACAAAATAATGTGACTGCAAATGGAGATCTCGTGTCATGCTAGTCTGTCCCTTACACTAAAACGTACCTGAAGACAAACTAAATATACTCCATATTCTACCAACTAAGCCATGTGACTTTTCTGTAATCAAAGATCAGATCCAGCACTGCATTGTCTTCCTGTTACAATACCTTATGCAAGTGAACAACATGGATTAATGCAGAAATGAAAAAAAAACATGGCACAAAATCAGAGACTGATCTTCCATATCATGGCCTTAACATTTCACTGTTGAGATTAACATATTTATGTTAACAAGGCCCTTTTTTGTTTGTTTTTATGAACCTCAGTTCCTGCTTCTCCTGCTACAGAGATTTCTTAGCTCTGATCAACCCATACTCCCTAGCTCCAAAGTTCTTGCTTTTCTACCTGAAAAAAGACAGAGAAGCTACTTGTTATAATTTTAAGACCTCTCAATATTTTTTCCTGGCTTACTGAAATGTTGACTCATCTCAAGTTGGCCCGTAGCTACAACCTAACCTCTTCACATTCTTCCCCATGGTGCTGAGGGTGGAGTTGTGCAAAATGACTGAGCTGATCTTACAGTTTTCTTGTACCAAAAGATGAAAAAGCCCTTTCATTCCTTTTCTTCCCTTTATCCTGTCCTACCCTATGATACAACCTATCCTTTACACTACTCTTAACACTCACTAACTTCACATTAAAATGATTCTGCTAACTTACTCAGCAGAATACTTTTAATTCTTTTGGCTGTGTTGAGCTTTCTGCTGTAATACAGAGTTAAACTGAATACTGAAGTCTTACCAAAAAGTGTCTGTGCCATGGAGCCATTCACAAGTAGAGTGGTGGAAGCAGGACAGGATTAATAAGAAAAAAGTCAGGTTATCTTTTTTTTTTAGCTTGCACTTTTACACTTGGCAAATTGTTCCAAATTACTGTGCACAAGTTACTTTGACCCAAATCTCATCTAAAAACTTGTTGCTACATACAAAATGTTTAAAACAGCACACTTAAGTTATGCAACAACAGGTGAGCTTGCTGATCATTAGCTTATTGTTTTCTATGTACATCCTTTTTTTGGACCATAAGCATTTGAAGGAGCAGATATCTTTTTCTGTGCACTTCTGTTGTAGTAAAAACGCTTTCTCATTCACAACTGTTTGCACTGAGTAACACCCAGTATATATAATGATAATATTTAGCACAGAAGGAAACTGGTGTTTTTAAACCCCCATCCTCAAGAACTCCAAGATTGTCTATGACTTGAACTAAGTCACAGGTGCACGTATA